TAAGGCTGAAGATTTCATATCAGCAATATAAATATATTTTGGCCACGCCCATTGCCTCCAGCATAAATAGACTTAACAACATGTCAAATTTACTCTAATAGCTTTCATTGCCACATACTTTTCCCTTTTTAAGATAGCCAAGCTAAATTTAAGTGAATTTCCGACGACGCGAATTTAAGAACAGATTCCGAAGTCGTTCAACTCAGATACCCTATTAATAGCAGATATACAAGCACTAAATGTATACACTAAGGCCTAGGATAAATGTACACTTGCGTTTGGCAAATCCTCTTAAATAAATTAAGTTGACTTTAGCGATTGTGAAATTATAAAATCAAATTACTCAAACCCAGCAGGCCGAAACCCAGCAGCAGGAGAGCAGCTGTGGGGCGGCCGCAAAGCATTTCTATGAAATTAGTTTGGGTTCGTTTTAAAATAATCATGATCCTTGCAGGACATTCAACATATGCAACGCCTTTTCTTTTGGGCGCCGCACAACAAAGTTTATTATGCAAAGGCAACGGGGCGTTGTCCTGAGCAATGCCACAAAAGGCAATCATTTTATAGGCCCCAAAAAAGGATTGCTGGGATTGTGGGGATCGTTGGGCTTATGGGGATTAGCAGCAGCTGAAATGTACCAGAAAACGACAAACAATCAATTACTGATTCGCTTGGCTGCTTGCTTTCTGTAGCTTTCAATTCATCAATTAAAAGACCGCCACGGAACCACATCCCCTCTTCGAACGCTTCGTCTCGTCTGCCTGACTGGTAAAATGCGTCAAAAGCGTTTCAAATGAGCCTTTTAATGGGTTTACGATTTTCCATATAACAACAACAGCAACAACAAACAGTCACAGGACTTTTCCAACTGGTCCTTTTGCGTTCTGTGATTAATTTATTTTTGGCAGCCCCAGTCCGGATTTGAGTTTCTATTGGCATTAGGGGGCATTAGGGGCATTTGGGGCATTGGGGGCGTGCCTGTCCGCACATATAACCATCAATCGGGCATTGGCCCAGCAATCGCTGTCAGTGTGTGTAAACTTAATTCCTGCTCATTTTTAAGCGAGACAGACCCAGACAGGCACCCCTTCATTAAGTTGACACAATGACGGTCGGGCTGCGCTTCGCTAGTTAATGAAAAACTCGAAAGAGTTACAACGCCGTGCATCGGGGGTAAATATACACCCGGAGCACTATGGAATTGCTTTTTTGGATTGTGCGGTTCGCGCAAAGCGACGCTCTGCAAATCCGCTCGAATTGTTGCTGTGGTTTTGGATTACGAATTTCGATCAAATGTTAATCCAATCGATTGAGTGTTGTGCTAGAATGCGAGTACGAGAGCACTTCAGCTGTTGCGTATCATTAGAGCAGAAAATGGTACATAAACTTCATAGAATATTCATAGTTTATGAGCTCCGCCAAAATGAAAAATATATATTTTAAAGGCAATAAGATATGTAGAAAACCCACATAATATTTGAAGAGTATTAAGCTTCGTAAAAATGTATAATTTAAAGACTTTGCGATACGAAGTTTACCATTATAATTAAAGATTTTATTTAAACATTTAGCTAATGCTATTATTACTTTCATTATAAGAGGTATTAGTTATTAGTTATGGATATAAATTGTCTAGCAATATATCCATATAACCACCGTAAGCTAGTTTTCTTCTAATAATTATCGTCATCTCATGTTGGAAATCACAATAACCAAATGCTTTTTAACGGCACTTTCATTGTCATTAACAATTCAACTAATGCTTAACTAATGCTTAGCCAAACAGGGCGCCAATCCTGAATAATGGTAGCTAATTCACTTCGTATTTCTTTCAGCCTTTCAGCCTCAATCTCAAGTGTGGAACTCAACAAGCTGCGAAATTTCGCACGCAGCTCTCGAAAAAGGTATTTAAGGCATGGCATAGCGAGAGTTGTGTTCCTCCTGGTGATTAGGAGAAATTCACACACCACAACTCAAAGCAACATAGGGAAACACAAGAGAGAAGCAACAAAAAAAAAGGGAAGACAAGAAAAGGCAAACAAAGTGTATCTAGCAGCTACACGGATGGATATGTATCCGTAAGATACTTTTAGCAAGGAAAACGTGTGAATTATCCTGCCTCAAAGTATTTAATGCGCTTTACACATGGAAACAAGGAAGGGGCAGAGCCCAATGAACAGGACAGCAAATGCACACACACTCAGGCACACTCAGCAAACAAGCAATGAGAGCAATTGAAGGGCACATTGTATTAAAAATAGAAAATAGATGGAGGGAAAATACAACAACAAAAATAAGTGAGAGAAAAGAATGGTCTTTGGAGTGCCGCAGATCAAATACCCTTGCTGGCAAATATATATATATATATAGATATATCTATATTTATATATATATATATACATATATATACTCTCCAATTAAATGCAAGACAAATGCACTTGACAGTCGTACGTTTTCAATTTTAAAAGAAAGTCATAAAAACTGCCGATTTTTAAATCTATAGTTTGATTTTTTGATTCAGCTCTATTTAGACTATTTTCAGTGTGAAACATAGAAACTATTAAAAGTATAATTTTAAAATATAAGTACAAAAAACGTTATGAATTCGTGAGAACTTACGTTATAGAAAAATCGCTCGTTTAGATAATCGGTCAATTCTTTATATATCAACGAATCTTTAGTTCTTATAAAAGTCTATATTGGAAAATGCAGGATCACGCTCGAAGTAATCGGTATTTTGTAATTTATCTAACAATAAGAAAAATTCCCAATGTTTTATTGATTTTATTGGTAGATCTTTGGATAGTACACTATTTGAAGAGATTTCAGTATATCACAGAAAAGATAAGTATAATTTTAAGATATAAGTAAACAATCGTATATGAGAGCTTCCGTTACAGAAAACACACTCGTTAAGATAAGCTGTTAAGATTTTAAGATAAAATTCTTCAAATATCTATAAAATATGTAAGATAAATATAAAAAATTCTGAAGACCAATTAAATAGGGTTTATTAAAGTCAATATTAACAAATTAAGAGCAATGCATGAGACAGTCGTGTTTTTCCGTTTAAGAAATAAAAAATAATAATAAACCTATTTTTAAGATTTTTATAATTTTTGCATACAACTCTTTTTGAACTATTTTAAGTGGAATGTAACAAAGATATTGGTAAACTAACTATACGAAACAATCTTTTCGATAAGCTGTCAAAATGTTAAGATACAATTCTTCAAATATCTATAAAAAATGCAAAAATAATAAGAAATCACACCTGCTTGACACATGGAACTACACTTAAGGTCATGTCGTCCACATTATGTGTTACACTTTTCACAACAGATTGCATAATATCCTCGGCAAGGGTATACAAATAAGAAGCAGCCGCAGCAGAGAGAACAAGAATAATAACAACAATAACATTAAAGGCATTTGATCATTACTCATAAAAACAAACAGCGAATGTTTCTCCACAAAGGAGAAGGGGGTGAAGATGGAGAAGTCGCTGGTGCAGGGAAAAGAAGAGTAAACAGTTGGGAAAACGACTTGTGGAAAAGCGAGACAATGGCGAAGCTGATGATGCCGCTGATAATGATGATGATGGTGATGGTGATGATGATGATGAGGAGCAGCCAACTGGCTGGCTAGAAAATTAATTATACAACGTGAAAATGCGCTGAAATACATATTATCAGGGTCCGTGTAGGGATGGTGAGGGGAGGGGCGCTATTAAGCGTTACCTCGTTTTTCGGCTATTGGAAGCGTAAGCCATAAGCAGGCATTACAAATTGCATCGAACGGGAAACTGGTTTTCCAAACAAACCAAATGCACAAGTGAAGAAGAAGACGAAGAAAATCAAGCGAAAGCAAACAAACAAAGTCTAGAAGCGGGGCAGAGTATTCTTTGAGCCGTTTTACCTGCTCAGCTGCCACTACTCAATACTGGCAGGTAGACATCCCAGCGGCCAGCACAGGGTGACTCCAACTCGGTGACTCGAATGACTCGAAGACTCCCCGCTGCTCGGCCTGGTGGTTGAAATTAATTCTACTACGCAACAGGATATGCACTTCTTTTTTGTTTTATATATATATATATTTTTTTTTTGACTGCCGCAGGAGCAGAGCAAATTGCGTATGGAGTTCAAATGAAGACATAAAATGGCAGTTGACCCGAATGAAACGATGTGGAATACTACGCACATAACGGGGCATATAAAACTGCAGTTACTTTGGACACGATCAGTTGGCTCAGTAGTAAAACTAGCCTCAAAGTCTGCAGGCTATTAGAATTCGGAGTCGGAGCAATATATCTCAAAAGATCTCAATCGAAGAATGTCGCAGTCGACAGATGGGGAATGCGAATTGAATTAACAGCTGAAAACGGGCAAAGAAAAGAAAACAGTCAAACAAAAAACCAAAAAAATAATAAAAAATTCGAATGCACTGGAAATTTTCTTTTTAAAAATTTCGAAGACTGCATTAATTACCCAACAAGAATACGAAAAGATGCACAAATATTAAAAGTAAAAAAATGAGATAAGAACCTTATTTCCGTTATCTGCCTTGGTCTGTCAATTGTTTTTATTTGTGTGCACTCAAATGTCTACTCATAAGCAAAAACTAGCTGTTAATATGAGATCGCAAATAAGATATTGTTCTGAGAAGAAACGTTAATCCGTTATATGTATATGCATCAAAGGTTGGCAATTTTGTCATTTTACACTTAATCACTTTTGCTCTCATTGTCTTCATCACATTGAGATAAAAAGTCACTCTAAGCTTTGTTTACCGTTTTAAAGTTCATGCATGGTACTATTTATTACTCAATGCTCCTTTGGAGTTTCGCACGTTCTTTCCTTTTTACTGTTTGATCTATCACCTTTTCTCTCATTGCATGCGCTCTCTCAATTTCTTATCTCTATTGAGGTACCGCAATTTAACATTCCCTTTTGTGATCTACACTGTTCACTTTGCGCTTAATTCATATTTCTGCTTCTTACCTTTCCGCCAACTTTTAGTTCATAGCCCATGCCCAGAGGCGTCTTAAGCTGCACTGGGCACACGAATCCTATGTTCCGATGGGGGCTGTCCACGCTGATCTGATGCTTGCGAGTGGTCACTTTGGGCGCGCTTCGCGTGGGCGCGGGAGTCGAGGAGGAGGAGGTGGTGTTTTCGGCGACACAGAGATCCTCGCCGCCGTGTACGGGAAACTTGGAGCACTCGAGATTCTCGGGCCAATTGAAGTTGTATGTTTTCATGAGGGTCTCGCAGACGCGTGCGGATTCGCAGAGCGAGCGGCAGGGGGGAATGGGGCGCTCCAGTATGGTGCAGACGGGCACGTAGAGGGAGCAGAGAAATAACTGTAGATCGGCGCTGCAGCCGATTTTCACCAGCGGCGCAAACTGATGCACCTCCAGGCCCGCCTCCTCCTGCTTGGTGTGGCCAATCAGATTGGGCATAATCGTCATATTATAGGGTATATTCTTGCATATGGAAATGGTGATGGGCTCGCAGCGATTGTGATGTGGAAAGCCGTCCAGAGAGCTGGCCGAGCTGCCGGTCAAGTCGGAGCGATAATACGAGCTGGCGTCCAACGGGGTCTGGTCGTAGCGCTGGGCGGTCTGAAGCAGCGCGGGCAGCAGCAGCAGCAGAAGCGGCAGCAGCAGCATTTTTCGACTTTCGTACATTTTTCAGAACCGAATACTTTTTTTTTTGGTTGGCGCGTTTTTGGCTCGTGGATTTCTTAAGTAAATTTTCAACGCTTTGTGGGATTCTTAAAGCTCAGACATTTTGACAAAAACACACACACAAACACAAGCACAATGGCGAGGGCGAGAGGAGGGCGTTGAAAATAAAATATTTAAAACACGCACGAAAACACGCGGCGGCTATTTAGCATTTTGCATAGCAGAAATATGTGACAGAACTATTTTTCATTTCAATTTTTAAATTTCAATTTCAATTGCAATTACTCTTTATTTGCACTTTTTTAACACTTTTTTTTAGGCTTTTTTCGGCGTTTGTTTTGCCGGCTAAGCGACGGGCAGCAAACTACAAAAGTACCGTATGCAGCAGAACTTTACGTAAAACGCGCGAAACAACGTTGAATCTGGAGTTACATCAAACGAATATTCAACCGAGAGCACAACCGAGCGGCAGGGCAGACGCTGACAAACTAACCATTGCATGAAACGCCGTCATGCTGCTAGTGTGTGGGCTGAGGTGGGAGAGAGCAGGTTTGTTGCTGGTGGTGATGGTGGCATTGGTGGGCGAGCGAGCGCGAGAGCAACGTTGAGCCGAACATCATCAACAGGCCAGCCGTCCAGCAACAGCAGCCGTCGTGTCGTCACTTGTTTGCATTGCTTACGCTCAGTTGCTGAATATGTGCTCTCCGAGGCGCTCTGCCGCTCCAGCTCTCTTCAGCAATATATGTTGCATGGAGCGACCTTGAATTTGACACTCAATGCAGTTGGAGAGCGAGCACGAGAGCGCCAACTAGAACAGGGCTGTTAAACGCTTTGTTTTGGATGCTGTTGCGGCAGCAGCTTGAGCTCCTGTTGATTGAGTTAAGTATCAACAAATGGTTAAGAGTAGCATTTATCGTATTAATTAAAAATTAAAATTAAATAAAGCTAATCCGAATGAGCGTGCCAACAGATTGTGCTCTATTCACGCGGAAAAGTCAGGAAGCCGGGTGTTTTTAATAGCAAAGAAAGATTAGAATATTTTTTTAAAAAAATGTTAAGCGTATTTTATAGAAGCATTTACATACACAAATGTTATAGTCATTCCCACTAGAGCACATCAATCTTAATCAGTTACAGCTATTTGCATACATTGCCGTTATAAGAACTTTCTTTGCGAAAAAAATACATAAAGCTCAGTAAACTCTAATAAATGTATTTCCTTAATTGTTCGGTTCAGAGATGGGCTTTCCGTCGCATATTTGCACGACAATTTGTGCCGTGGCAAACGCGACAATTTATATGTGTTTGTCTCTATCTATTCTCATCTCTTTTCTTTCGGTTCATTCAGTTTTTTTTCTGTCTTTGACTTTCTTTCCCTACACTTGAACTTAATTAAGTCATTAACTTGCGTTTAATCTGCGCTTAGCATGGAATCAAGAGAGCTGAGAACACAACACAAACAAAATCAACTCGAACAAACTTCGCATATCCAAGGCATTTCTCTAATGACCCCAACGGGGCGAGGAGCGGGGTGAAGGGCGCGGTGCGAAGCCAATAAACTTGTTATATTGACAATAATGATGACATTAGAGGAAGCTTTGTCTTTGTCACCTGTAGCCCGCAGCCCGATCGCAGCACAGAATGCAGTCGCTCAAAGTTTAACATATTTTTCATGCTCTTGCAGGCACAGACACAAACAAACACACACACACATGGACATGTGTTGATGTGTATGAAGGTGTGTAAGCTTTTGTGCCTTGTTTTCCTCTGTCTTACAATTCCACTCGCTCTCTCTCTCTCTCACTGTCTCTCTCTCACTATCTTAGATTGTCTTGCTGTCCCTGCTGCGCTCGCTCTCCCGTGTGGGCTGTAAACAAGTGTTACCGGTTTAGCCGGCGTTCCTTCTGTGCCTCTGCGGCTTCTCGTGCTTCTTAAGCGTCTGCTTCGCCATCGTCGTCGGCTTGTTTAATAAAAAGCGCCAAAGTTGAGCAGCATAAAAAGACTTTTCATTGTTGCTGCTCAGCTACGTCGACAGCGCAGCGGCTCAGTTGCTGTCGCCTTTGCCTTTTCAGTTATTTTGCTGTTGTTGTATTCAGTTGGCGCTCGTTTTATGTTTACAAGTGAACGAACTTTGACGCCGCCGCTCAGCTGCTTCCCGAGCCTGCCCTCTCACCCACACACACACACACGCACACACACACACACTCACTGGGCAATGTTAGAAAGTGTTTGCTGTTGTGTTCTTCGCGTGTCTTTTAGAATATGTTTCGCATGTAATTTTATGTAATTAAAATGAAATTGCCTCAAAACTGTAAGGCATAAGAAGCTAAAGCAGATGAGAGCAGATAGCGAAAGTTGAATTGAATATTCCACTTGTTGGACCCGCAAATTAGTGTCTATAATGAGGGGTAGTTAATAGTTGCACTTACACTTTAAATAGTTACATGACAATCAAAGAAACTTTGTAATTATTTTATACCCATCTCTAATGAAAGTGTGGGTATAATCAACTGGAAGGTAGTTCATAATTTAGGTTGTTTCTCTAAACAACTGGGATCTTATTTATCCGAGCTTTGTAAATATAATTAAATGCTCCACTTTTTACAATCTGAATTTATATAGTTTTTTTTTATATATTTATTTTGTATCATATATCTACCGTTCTGTTATATTATCCTTTAAAAAACAAATCCCACCTTTTCTAGGAATTTGAAGCGGCTTTGCGGACTTTTATAGAGTTCTTAAATTTTTGAAATACAAAAACAAAGTTGCACATTTTCCATTTTCATATATTTATTATATGCATAAGCCCAGCTTTTCGGCTCTGATTGCAAAGTACCCCCCCACCCCACCCCTTTCTCTCCCCGCCCCCATGAACCTCCCTCGAAATTCAACTTGTTTTAGCTACATAAATAATCTGTCCTAAGCCACGTTCAAATAATAAAAAAGCATACAACCTCATTTGTAGCTACAAAATACGAAAATCAATCCGCATAACTTTGGTCATGTTATGTTTACCCCCAAAGAGCAAAAAAAAAAAAAAATAAATAAACAAGCTGCCAAACATGGCGTCCAAATTAGAAAAGGCTTAACAGGACGAGCTCGTGTGTGTGTGTGTGTGTGCGTGGTTTTGGAGACTTAATGCAAAAAGGACTCGGCTCTAAGCCAAAAGGGTTTGCTTGGCCAACTGCAAGTATTTACATTTGTCTGACCCGCAACCAGAAGCCAACTCGAAAGCAAATCCATTCCTTAGCAACCCGCGCGACGCCCTGTCTGGCCTTTTGCGTCCTTGGCCACATTAGTTGACCAATTTCACAACCCTCTTTGCAAAAGTCACGTGGCTTGCGAAACTTTTGCCTCCGCCCCTCCCTGCAAGCAGGTCCGATTTGAACTCCGATGTCAACTCGGGAAAACCTTAGCCACAGTCATAACAAACTAATTAGATGTAAAAGCTAACCCCACCCCCCCCCCCCCTCACTCTCTCTTCCCTCACTTTCTCCCTCTTGCATCCCTCGCCAAGTGTCGCTTGGTGGATCCCAGGATTGGGGCTAGTTGAGTGCGTTTTCCTGTTGTTTTTGTTGAAGGCCCGCAGGCGAATTTCTTGATTAAAAGTTTACGTTTTGTCTGTGCGCTATTTTTACAGCTCATTTGTTGCTATTCGCGCTGCCCTCGCGCCCCAAACAACCCCCCCCCCTGGCCAATGCACAATACCCCAACAGAGGCCACAAAAGTTCGCGAGGCTTTTGGGATCATCGGCGGAAGCTACCCATAAATAATGAATTATTTACTTAAAACAGCCAACGGCCAAAAGCTCAATTAAATTTTTTGAAAAATGACCAACAACTTTCACCCGATGAGTAGAGAGTGGGAAAGGGGAGGGGGGTAGAACGTGTAGAGTATATGCATTGTAAGGCTACAATCTACGTTGTTGGCCGGCGCCATCAATCAAAGCAGGCACTGCAATGTCCATCAAACTAGGCTCGTTACAAGCGTCCAGTTGAAGGTCCCTCAAAAAAAAAGATGAAAAAGAAATGGAATACACAGTCGGGTAGACAGATATCGATACCCTTTCAAAGAGATCGGTGTAACTTTCAAGTACTTCACAAATAATAAACGTATTCTTAAAAGATGTTAAAAAGGTACAAAATTTTAAGATGACAAAAAGTTAGACATTCGGGTAGACAAATAACGATACCCTTTCAAAGAGATAGGTTTTGAAGAACTTCACGAATAAAATACTTTTAAATTTTTAATAGCAAGAAATAAGGAATTGTCGAACGGGTAGACAAATATTGTAAAATATATCTTTAAAGGAGATATGTGTAAATTTAAAGAACTTGACAAACAATAAACTCATACATTTTATATAATAAATAAAGATTAATTTCAATAGATTTGGTTTGTTAAACTAATGTGCCACATCTACGAATCCAGGTTCATAATCGAATACACTTTTTACAATTTCGAAGAACATTAAAACGATTTCACGAATAATAATCTTGTAATAGTAATAAAAACTAAGGTTAATCTAGATAGCTGTTAGTTAACTTTAGAAGTTCATTTTACGTTGAAGGTTTACTTCGTAAAAGTAATTTTTTACACGTACGAATTTAGGTTCAAGTTTGAACCTTGCCACACTTTTTACAATTTCAAACAGAAAAAATACAATTATTATAAAATAATTTATTTATATTATTATCATTATTATTTATTATAGGTAAAGGTATATATACATTACCCTCTTTAAATGATTTTAAAATCTGTGCTTAATGTTTCTTAATGCACGTTTTTGAAAGTTCGTGAACCAGTTTGGAACAGCATTTGAATCCAAAGTGAACTGGTTTTAGACCCTACCTTAAACACACTCTTAAGAATACATATAGAGTTCTATATACGCTTAAGGACTTACAAAAAAACTCTAAAAACCGAAACTCACCCAATTAATTGTAAAAGCAGCGCAACAGATCTTTTTAATTTTCAAACTTCTTACCCTCTTTAAATGAATATAAAATCTGTTGTTGGTTTTTCATAAACCACGCTTCAACTGTTTGCCGACCAGTTTGGACACTATCTTAAACACACTTTTAAGAATATAAATAGAATGCTTTATACGCATAAAATTAAAATCTCAAAACCGAAACTCACCAAACTAATTGCAAAAGCCGCGCAACAGGTCTTGACTTTCGCTTAGAATTCTAACACACGGCAGCAGTTGATTCGTAAATCCTTAAATCAAATCTAAAATATTCATATACAAGTGAGCATTATTCCTAATGCAAAACCTATTTCTCAAGGGTTACAGAGTGCATAACAAAGTTATGATACCGGCTGCCAGGTCTATAAATAATTGCATTTGAAATTTTGCATTCAGGTGAAGTTGTGCGCCGCTGTTTGAGCGGGCGAGGGTTGAGGTGCGGGAGCGGGTGCGGGTGCCCTGTTGGTAACATGCTGTCTAGGCCTTGGCTATTCTCGACA